GAAAGGCATGCCTGTGGGCATGGCAGAGGGCAGACTGACCTATTGAAGAACTGTATCCTGAGCGGTTTGGAACCAGAATTCTAACCTGTTACTTTCCTCAGAAATCCCATAATCATGAGTTTTGTCTGTGATGTCTCTGTGGCCACTGCAACCAATTATTGAACCCAGCAGAGAAGTAGACAGAGTATGAGAGGGATGGCTGGGGTCTGAACTGGTAAGAAGGTTGGAGGGTTGTGGGATAACTTGCCCCATAGGAATAAGCCTCGGGCTGCTGATGGTGATTTTCTCTCCGCTTGGTGACGCAAGAGATCAGAGGACACTGCCCTCATACCCTATTTGTAGTTGTAAAGTGAATTAAGAGACCCAAGATCTACCTGAGGCTGCAGGAGTGGAACACTGTGGGTTCCAGACAGATTCTAATCAGGCCTGTAGTGCAGCCCTGTCACTCAGCCAAGCTGTGAACATGTGAAAACAGGAAATTTTTTGTTGGTAAAGTTTGAGAGTCCTAGCTCGTAAAACTGTTGGAATGTGCATAATACATGTAAAGTACCTGGTCCAGTGCCTGGCATGTTTTAGGTCCTTAAAGAATGGCAGTTATCACTATGATTGTTTTGATGCCAGATGATACCACTCACCACTCCGAGGGTTTTATTTTATTTTTTTAACTGCAGGAAGCTTCAGCAGTCATCCAGGATGAAGCAAATCAAATGAGACTGATTGCTGCTTAGGAAGGAAAAGTAGATAATATTCGACCTTAGGGAATCTGTTATTTTCGTGAGTGTGGAATAGAGTTGTCCAGGTGGCTGCAACACAAGGCTTCTAGAAGGAGTGTCAAGGGCCAGCAATTCCCCTCCCAGCTGCAATTCCATCTAAATCATACCTATTTTCATTCATTAAACCACCACCAAAAATGTAGTCTTCACTTGGACTTTGCCTAAGGATGCTCCGGAAATCCTAATTCTGAAGTCCTTTGAATGGAGTGGGCTCTGGCTCCTTCAGCCCAAGACAAAGGGCTGGAACAGTGGCTTCTTCACATCTCTCCTCAATGGAGTATCACCCTATTTCTCAGAAACTTCCTGGAAATGATGTAAATAAAATACCCCGTCAGCGCATGAGTTACAGCGCACTCGGACAAGAGCACAGGACACTTCCCAGTCTGTCTCAGGTCGGATTCCTCTCTGGTTTAGCACGACGTCAGGGTCTCTGTTAAGGGCCAGTCTCCATCTCCATTCCAGGTTCAGTCTCTCCCCATGATGGAAGTGTCTGGCCCTGTGCAGCTCTACCATGGCCTCACAAAGTCATCCCCACCTCACCCTTCCCCTAACCCACTACCGTTCAGCACCCCATGCAGCCTAAAAGAAGTGACCTCACATTCAGGCATTTGGAATTCCTCAAAACCTCAAACTGACCTGCCTCAGGGCCTTTGCACTGACTGCTCTCACTGAAAACATCCTGCTTCTTTTCTTACTTGGTTCTGAGTCTTAAATCGTATCCCAATTTCTTTCCTCTCTGATAGCTGCTCCTAGACTATTCTACAGTCAGGGGATCAGGCTGCTTCTTCTTCTTCCTCTTCTTTTTAAAATCAGTTCCAGTAGTAACTAGAAGCCCATAAATACCAGATGTTCAGTTAAGCTTTCAGGGCTAAAATAGACAATTAACAAATTTCCACTTTGAGACAGTTTAATTATCACACTCTGGAATAAACTCAACAAATTCAGGTATATATTTTGTCAATTAAGAAAATATTACAAAAATTAAAAAAACAAAGATTTTATAAAATATAGTAAAATATTTTTGTTTTCTTTATCCAAACTATTCCACTATGGGAATCATTCTCATTTCCAACACAATCCCTACTCTAATGCATATTATCTTGTTCTCAACCAGAAGAGAAATTCCAGGAAGTTCTCTGTTACCAAAACTCTTATGTTTATACATGAAAGGAACAATAAACAAGGATCCATGATATTCGTAAATTGAGATTATGAATCTAAAGAAACCTTCTACTGAAAGAAACAGGATTTTAAAGTATCATCCCCCTCAAAAGAAAAGGTAAATCTCTGTTACCCACGATGATAAAGAGCAAAATAAAGACATAGACTGTGTTGCCTCCAGCCCTAATTCTCCTCCACTATTTTGAAGGCAGAAAGTGCTTTCAAAAACAATTTGAAGAATCTTCCTCAGATTTCACTAGTGATGGGGGAGGACCGGATGGACTATTCCATGAAATGGGCCCTAGCCCTGGCAAGAGAACCAACCTCAGTTGCAGCTCCTCCTTCCTTCTCTCTCCGAATTTCTTCATACAGGGCTTGAAAGGTACTGGGTTTCATATCACTGACCTTGGCCAAAAATTCCAGGACTTTTGTTTTGTTGGCTTCATCATAGGCTCTGGGACCCCAAAGGAATTCATAGCGTGGAGGATCACTGTTGGGCACCTGCTGGTACTCCAAGTACTTTTCCTGCACCAAATCTTTGGTGATGAGCTTCCTGGGATCCCCAAAGATTATGTGCCTCTCCCCATCATAAACACCCAAACTATTCAGGAATTGCCAAATCTTCTCTTCAGTCGCCCGCTTGCCTATCACATACATCAAGCCCAGGAGAGGTAACAAGAGGCCATTCTTGTGATACCGACCACCACCATATATATTCTCTTCCTTGCTAATTTCCCATTTTCTGACAATGGTGTAGTATTGACCCTTGGAGTCAACTTCCTTAACTTCGAGGCCAAAGATCACCTCAATGTGCTCAGAGGCTCTCCTCAGGATCTCAGGGAATTGCTCCTTGAACCTTTTGTTGATGATCTTTATCATGTCTGCCTTGGAAATGTGCTTTTTAGCTTTATACTTCTCCAGCAGAAAGCCCAACAACATGAACACACGGCAGCTGAGCGGATCCCTTTGTGATTTCTCAGTGGGGGGTGGGGCCTGAGAGGAACTTGCTCTTCCCTCCTCTTGGCCCTCTGCACCTACGGTGGCTTTTGTGCCGCACACACAGGCAGCATCAGTGGTGGTGGATGGGACTCTTTCAGGCCCCTGGGGAAAGCCAGCAGCAGGGAAGCTCTGGGGAGACTTCCCAGAAGAAGGAGAGGAGGAGTGGGGAGACCCTTTCTCCTCTCCTGTAGTGGCCTGAGCACCCTCAGGATCGTGAGTGTCAGCTTGGGCCTTCAGTTGGGCCTCACCTTGGGCCTGGCGGCGTTTCTCACGGGCACGGAGCTTACTCTTCTGACCACGAGGCATGATGACTCTTGTCACGGAGAGCAGGCAGGAATGTGGGAGTAGGACAGGTGATGCGAGCCCACTGGAAAAGTAAGGCAGAAAGTATGTGAGTCCCTTCAGCAGGGCAATGTCTCTTTGGCTTAACAGTGGCTGTTTAGACAGGATTCTTGAAGGGTACTGTTCTAGGAACACAGAAGGCTTCAGATCTGGGCAGCCTGTCCTGAGAACCATGTGGAGGTAATGCTTAGGTTGCAGTTGCCACCAGGGCCTAACAGTGCGGACCTCCATACTAGGGTAGTTGGGAGTCTACTCAGTTCACTTTTCAGGGCCATTGGATCAATAGTTGGCAGGGTTTGGGCCTTGTTCTCTGTGTTTTCCTGAACTTGATACCTCAAAGCCCCAGGGTGCCTTGGCTGAAATTAAGGAGCAACTTAGCTCTCACCTCTTGGAGGTTATCTCAGTGATGACAGGAAAGTGGGACTGTTCTATCCTGGGTTACTTGGAGGCCTCTGTAC